GACCTTTGATATTATGTATGCATGGCGAGCAAGTATGATTTCAAGCACAGTTACCCTTTCATAGCCTAACTTAGAAACTGGCATGGCAAATGACATTTGAAAAGACAAATAAATTAATACTGTCAGGCCTGTCACAACCTGCCCTAAGAGTCTGCCCCATTATGATTCTGGCTCGCTACAACTCTTGTGTTTTACTGTTGTCCTCAAAAAGGACAGAGTCAAGCACATATTGGGAAGAGATGCAATCAAAGACTAGTTAAAATGGAATATTTTCATTGTATTCATTCTTATAGAACCATCTATTTGATTTTACTGTATGTTTAATATTGTTTAGAACTTTGGCAAAATATTTTTCTTGAATTTATGTAGACCTCTACCAAATGCATGGAAAGCAAGGAATCTGAAAGTTAAAATGTCCCAAGCCAAACATAACCTATTCCATTAGAGTTGATACCTGATGATTGTCCATAGCATTCCAAGTAGTTACAACAGAGAATGTATTAACTACAAACCCCAAAATATTTATTACCTGAGCCTTTGTGGAAAACAATTTTTCAACCCTAGCTTCAGATTGTTGTGCTATGTCACTTTGTACTCTTGAATCAGAATCCACCTATAGCTCACTGTCCAATGAATTTTCAGAGGCAGTAAATTACCCAGCAGTAGATTACCCAGCTTTCTCCTGCAGAGTGGATAATGGATTTGAACTACGTGTCTTTTGGTTGGCAGCGGTGTAGCTCCTTACCACTAAGCACCAGACTGTTGTTTTTGTTGTTTATGTACTGTTGAGTTGGAACCAACCCATAGTTGACCCTCTCGCACGTTTTCAGGGAAAGTTTTAATGGCATGGGAGCTTACCCATCTTTCTCCCTCAGAGCAGCTGGTGGATTCGAACTGCATGCCTTTGGCTTGGCAGTGCAGCTCCTTACCCACTAAACCAGCAGAGCACTGACTAATAGAACTTTTCTGCAGTAATGTAAATGTTTTCTATTTATACTGAATATATTATCCACTATTCCAGTACAAGTATTGAATGCTTAAAATGTTGGTGTTGTCAGCTATGAGTCACTTTCAACTTCTTGACAGTATGTAGAGTACTATGCAAGTAGAGAGAAAATTAAAAACAAAGTTAACTGAAGTTGTGAGTATATGAAAGATGGGAGGTTGGTTGGGATAAGTTTGATTGATGATGTCAAAAATAGCCATGAGAATTTTGTGAGATTAAAGGTGAAAAATTGGAGACAGAACAGAAAGTTGGATGTTTACCTTGTCATGCATAACCCCAAATTAAGTGTTATGAAGACTTAAATGTGGATATGATTTTAATGTGTTAGTGTAAATTTTTCATTTTTTAACATTTTCAACAAATTTTGTCATGTTTAATATGAAAAATTAGAAAAAATAATAGAACAAGCATTTGGTAGTACATCTCAAACAAGAGTCTCATAACAAGGTTTACAGAATACTCCTCGGCCTCCACAAGAAAAAGACTGATAATCCAATTACAGAATGAGCAAAAGACATGCAAAGACTATTCAGAGGCCAACAGACGAATGAAGAAATGCTCCAAATTACTGGCAGTAAGGGAGATGCAAATCAAAACCACAATGAGATATCATCTCACTCCAGTAATAGTGCCAAAGTTTAACAGGACAGCAAGTTATAAATGTTGGAGAGGATGTGACAAGATAGGAACTCTTATACATTGTTAGTGGTATTGTAAAATGGTACAACCACTCTGGAAGGCAGTTTGGCATTTCCTCAAAAAGTCTAACATAGAAATTCCATGTGGCCCAGCTATTCCACTATTTGGAATAAACTCTGAGAAAATAAAAACTGAGGCACAGAGTTGTACACCAGTGTTCATGACAGCATTATTCACTATTACAAGAACATGCAAACAGCCCAGATGTCCAACCACAATCGAATGCTTTGAGAAAGTGTGGTATATTCACACAATGGAATATTATGCAGCACGCAGGAGCAATGATTTTGTAAATTCCTACCTAGCTTGGGAGAGACTGGAGAACATTATGCTGAGTGAACTAACGCAGTCCCACAAGGACAAATATTGTATAAAACAATTATTGTAAAATGAGCATGAGGATCCAAGGCAGGGGGAAGGTGGGCGCAGAAGAATGAGGATGTGCGGAGGTGGGAGGGCAGGTAGCGGCAATTATTCATGGGGTTGTACAATTTGATGGGTGGTGTTCAAATTTTATAAATAAACTAATATAATAATTTTTTAAAAACCTATAATAGTATAATTGAATTGCTCCTCAGGTAGACTCATTCTTTCACCAAAATATTTTTGTAAATAGAAAAAAAAATGTATAGCATTACTGCTTACCATAACTTTCTATAGGGAGTTCTGGTCTCGTGGCAAGAGCTGCACTACAATTCCAAAGGCGTACAATTCGAGTCCACCAGCTGCTCCATAGAAGAAGGATGGGCAGTCAGTCTCCTTTAATTCAAATAACTTCCTCTGAAAACCCAACAGAGGGTCAGCTATAGGTAGGTTCTAATTTGATGATACATAACTACAACATACATAAAGGTTGTTGTTGTGTTGTTATGTACCATTGAGTCAGAACCAACCCTAGCTGACCCTGGTTTCCTGAGGTAATAAATATCATGGGAGGAGATTGCTGATGGTTCTCCCACAAGCAGCTGATGGATTAAAATTGTGTTCCTTTGGGTTCACAGTGCATCTCCTTACCATTAGGCTACCTTTATTTATACAAGTAAGAACATTAGCCTCCTGTGCTTATTCAGAGGAACCCTGTTAATGCAGTCATTAGGTTCTCTGCTGCTAGCCAAAAGGCTGTCTGTTCAAAGCATTCAGTGCTCCAGCAGAGATAAGTCCTGGCAATCTGATTCCATAAAGATTACAGCTGAGGACACTTTAAGGGCAGTTCTCTGTGCCTCTTGGGTTGTTTTGTTGGGTTTGATTCATTGGCACCTAACAACAGCATGCTCATTTGACAAAGTTATTGGGTTTAAAGTATTCTTTTGCCATTGCTTGTAAGGTTTATTAAAAATTTTAGGGATGTTATAAAATTTTTAATTTATGTTTTATAGCTAAAAACCCCCAGAAGGGGAGCTCAGGTGGCATAGTGTGGATTATGGAATATATTTTTTATTAAAACTGGAAAACTGCTTGTTATTGTTGTTGTGTACCATGGTTGGAACTTAATCATAGCTGACCCTTCAACAGATTTTCAGAGGCAATATCACAAGAGAGGAGATTGTCTATCCTTCTCCTGGGAAGCATCGGGAGGATTCGAAACACATGCCTTTGGGACTGCAGCGCAGATTCTTACTGCTAGCCCACCTAGGGAGATACATTTATTCTGACCTTATTTTATCCTGAATAAAATCCTAATTGTATTTTACTTTGCATTTTCAAATTCTTACCTGTCTTCATTTAAGAAAATAAAAAAGTTGCTGAATAGTGTTGCCTCTGGTTCTCTCCTGTGTGTCCTGAAAAATGCTTGCAATGTAGTCAATTTAAGCCACACTCATTGCAGGGATTTTATATTGTGACTGAAATGTTTTTATTTGAAAAATCATATGTACATGTAGTTCTCTGACACCATTCCAGATTTTTAGAAATATGTTCTTGCTTGCTGAAAGATTTCAGTTTTTCCTCAGGTAGATACATCATATTTATAAAAATAAATGAAAAAAACACCACACTTCTCCCCAAGATTTCTTTTTAAATAGTTCACAGTTAAATTTAAATTTCTATATTTAGGTAGAATTATGTTTATATACCAACCACCAGTATCCAGGAAATTCAGTGGTAAGGCTGACACATAGGGAGTTTATAGTCCATTTTGTAGTCTGTGTATTTAGAGAAGGTTTGAAGCTTAGTTAGCAAAATCATTTAAACACTGAAGCAGAATTTCTTTGGCACAAATGCACGATTTGATTTCATATAATTGTTAAGATAACAGCATGTCATTTTTTTAAAAATTACTTCTCAGGAACACGTCTTAGATATATTTGAAATAATGGTGCATTCAGGAATAGCTTTTATATGTAAATATTTTTATAATACTTTAGATTGGATTGAGCTGGTTCGTTGCAATCAGCAAGAGCTGATCAAATTTGGAAGACGTTACAGGCACATTTTTGTAGTGTTTTCTCCAGCCTCTTTATTTTTTTCAGATGGACGTTTTTTATGTTCCTTCCAACTAATCAAAATAAGAAACTTATTTTTACCAGTGCCAAAAAAATAGAACTATCATTTTTCACATTCTTTTATTTTCTAGGTCATTTTCAAGTAAGATTGTATTTCTAGGACTTCTGAATTCCTGAAAACGCTTGACTTTGTAGATATTAAGATCCCAAATGAACATTTCAGGGGGAATCTAACTTTTCATGCAGTATGTTTTGTGTTGTGCATTCCAGCAACAGCTAACTTTTTGTTTGCATGTGATTAGTGTGGAAATAAATTAATGCAGTCCAGTATTATGATTTATGGACTGCATCCTTTACCCACTGAAGACTTGCCAAAATGAAAAGTATTTTCCCCCCTTTGGATATTAGAAACAGCTACTGTTTTTGTTGATCTTTTAAAGTTCTGAATGGGCCTATTTCAAATCATACCAGCATGGGAGCTCAGATTAATAATGCACTTATTCAACGAGTGATACTGAGTGAAACCATTGCTCACATGGATATGAAGGATAAAATTTCATAAAATTATTTTCAGGTGCATTAATGCATTTCTGGAGGCTGCGTACAATTTTTCTTTTGCAGGAAAGAAATCAAGGATTTCTGTTTATTATATCAGTTACAGGTGGGCTCATAAGTTAATTTAATTGCATTTTTTTAAAATATCCTTAACTGTACGACATTGTGCTGTTAAAAATAGTAATCTGATTGCTATTATTCCCACAGGTTTTTAACTCTTAGTGTATTTATCTCTCATGAGACATTAGCACTCTAGTACATTTAGTTTATGTAATTGAAAAAATTTCTTTTGTTACCAGTTACAGCAAGCTGCTGAAATTTCTCAGCTTCGGGGAGCAAGAGTGATTTCTGCTGAAGACCTTTTGTTTTTGATGCGCAAAGATAAGGTAATATAAAACAAGTCCATATATGAAAATGCTATGCTTACTATCTACTTGCACCCACAGAAGGGACTATGTAACTTTGTTATGTAGTTTGCAAATTAGAATCATTACTATTGAATTGACATTTTAGTCCTCCTAATCTTGTACCACCATATAAGATTACTGTGTGAGAATTGCTAATTATTTTCACTTAGGAGTTTATGGGAGGACTGTGGTAACAGCTGTCTTCACTTTTTCTTACAGATAAAATTAGACATTTTTATAGCTACATAGTATTCACTAAATATTACTCTATGATGTGTATTCATACATGGGATATAGCTGAAAGACATATTTATTTTTTCCTCTAACTTTAAACATTAGATATTTTCAGCATCACAGGCTTTTATAGAGTAACTCATGTTTTTCTCTTGAAATATAAAACTTATTCCATGATACTGGAATGAGGAAATCATTCAAGATGATTGTCTCCCATAAATATATGCCATCATTTCTATTTATTTTAAAAGGAAAGATTGATCTTGCTTATTTTTTTAATTCCATTATTTAAATAGTTATAGTCTTATTTGTGTTGTATAATGTTTACCTATATTCCACGAGTAACTATTTGGAGATATTCCATAACATTTTGCATATTTTTAATAATCATCCTAAAATAAAAATTCTGTTCTCCTCTTCTCTCTGGAGAAGGGAGAGCCTATCTGACGGGAAAGGATAATTAGACATTGTGTGTCATTGACAACCAAAAAAACAAGACATGCATTTATAAAGTGAATTGGAGGAGAAGTGGGAGGAAAATGTGTATCAATGAATGAATGAAAACCCATCTTTCTCTGTTAATTTTCACTAAAATCACGACTTTAAAGGAACTAATGGATTTCTGGTTTTCAAGTTTGCAAGCATTGTTCAGTTCCTAAGGTTCTCCCTTTCATTTCTCCCTGGTTATTTCCTGGCTCTTTTTTTTTTTTTTTTTTCATTTTATAATGGTTTCCTCACAAAGTTCCCAGCTTTTAAAATATGCTTTGCTGTTTCCCTTCCACCACCTACATATGCCTGTAGCTCTTGACTTCTTGTTATTGCTTTAATCATCAGAAGATATCCCACCCACTCTTTTGGACAATCTTGTTAATATTATTTCTAATATCTGGTTACTTAATTTCCTCTGAAAAATTTTCATTCTGAATGATTGGAGGTTGACTAAACCTGGATCAAATATCGTGTCTTCCTATGGAATGAGGTGTATTATTACTCAAAGTTCTCCACATGACACCTTGACCAGTGTACCATTCAGTTTTATAGAATGTCAGTTCAGCAACTTTTAGATGGTAAAAATAAAGCAAAAGAAAATAAAAGAAATACCTTCACTCTCAAGAACCTAATGATCTTAAGGAAATGTGTGTCATTAGTTGAGGAACCATCTTATAACTCAAGAGTTTCAGGGTTGCAAGGTTAAGTAATGAGAGATTATACATCTGTTTAAGTGGGTTTTGTGTAGAATGAGGCTCAGTCATTCATACGATGGACTGACTGCAGAGAATGTAAATAGAATAGGTTTAGTAGAAGGCACAATAGTAGAATGGTGGTTCTCGAAATTTATAGTAAGAATAAATCAGCGAGATAATTAAGAACAAAAGCTTGTAGGATTGGGTGACAGGGAGCTCTGGTGGCCTAGTGGTAAGGTCTAGTGGCCTAGTGGTAAAGCCTAGTGGCAAGAAGCTGTGCTGCCAGACCAAAGACACACAGTTCAAATCCACCCTCTGCTCCATGAGAGAAAAATGGGCAGTCTCTTCCCATGTGATTTGTGTGGTTTATTGCTTTTGTAAACTCCCTGTAGGGTCAGGAAAGAGTCAGATCAGATTCAGTGACACAAAACAACCAGAGTAACAACAACACAAAGAGAATTAGATATTAACTCCTCTACAGCCATGGTGCTGCAAGGATACAGCAAGAAGGTGCTGCTTACAGCAATGTGGAACTTAAGCAAAGATGCTGTCATGGAGGTGACTGCAGAGCTGTGGGTTTACCATTCATACTGTGTCAAATACCGTCAGGCCTTTTTTTTTTTTCTTTCTTTCTCTCCCTCTCTTTTCCCTTGACAGTGCTTTTTAAGAGGTTACATATGAAAGTTTGCCATGCTAACACTTTTTTTACCTACAATAATACTAAAAAACTTCAGAAACACACAAGTTGATCATAGACATCCACTACTCAAAGGGGGAACTATTACCTAAAATCTTTTCAGCAATGCAGAGCATAGTTAATATGACTGATTGTAGGTTACCAGTTTTCTCAACCTTTTAAAAATTATTATTTGTATGTTGACATATTCCAAAAATTTTTTAAGGTAGCTGATACAGGTATTGGACAAAATAAAATTTCAGGGTATAAATAGAATGAAAAGAGGGAGGAGGCAACGGTAGCAAAAATCCCACATATAGGTGTGTTGTGGTGTCTTTTGTATCTTAGAAATTCCTGTTTATATTAAACCAGTATTTACTGCCTGCCAATTAATACACAGTGCAACAGAACATAGTAATAGAACATAGTAACCGAACAGTAGTCTCAAGGATAATTACAACTGTGAGGGTAGCACAGGTCCAGGCAATGTTTTATTTTGTGGTACACAGGGTTTCTGTGGCTCTGAGCCCAGTTAATAGAACGGGTCAACAGTTTTAGGTTTTATATATCACACTAACAACTTTGCTCCTTCTTTCCCTTCATTCTCTGCCGGGTAGCTGCCTACTCTTCTTATGTTACAAGTGAAGGAAACTTGAGCAGCCAAGGTTAATACTTTACCTTAGTTTCCCTACGTTTATATGAGAAATAATGTTTTACATGTTATCCAAACCAAAGAGCATAGCTGTTTAGTCTTTTCCAACTCATACTTTCCCTCCAACACTGTAAATCTTGACAAAGGATACTGCCTCCTATATTTCTCTTCAGAGCAGATAGACTTCATTCTCTAGGCTTTCAGTTATCAGTCCAAAATATAAAGTGCTAGGCCACCAGATTCCTTATAGATGCTACAAAGCTATTGAAAGCATCAAATGATGCATGTGAAGGTTCTTTTTTAAAAATGCACTGCATTTCAGCTATTATTAAAATGCTTAAACCTGAAGGTTAGGGACCAAGGATAATTGTAAGCAAGCACACAAAAGCTACCAAATACTGTCAGTCACTTTTAAAGTTAAGCAATTTTGTGGTCTTCTAATAAAACTAAAGAAGGTCATCATTAAAACCTAACTGTTACTCATCAGCTTTGAATTTCAGAAAAATATGTTTCTCAGATTACAGAATACAGCAACTTTTCTAACCAAAAAGAAGCATCCTCAAAGACTAAAAAGGAGACTGCTTAGCTTTTTAAAAATGGTTTTTTGCAAAATCATCTAAATGTTTTATGAATCAGTTTTTAAAAATACATTTTTTGTCTTAAATGCATACAAAATCCCATAATACCAGTACAGTCAACTTGATGTGGACAGCATATTTTTCACAATCTTTAGAAAGAACTTAACATGTTTTTTTTTGTTCAACGCAACAAAACACCCAATTATTGTGATTTTGGAGCGTCTGAATGCTTGCAAATTAAAAATGCTTTGAAAAATAGGCATGTTGTAATTTTTATGTGTAACCTAACCATAGCCATTTTCATTCATAGCAGCCCTTATGCTGAGGGTTGCTGTGTTTTCTTGATGTATAATTTTATTACATTTAAGCATCAAAGTAGATTTTATTCAGACCACTGTATCGATTTTCATATATTTTCTACAATGTATTTTGATAGAAAAAACTGAGAAGACTGCTAAAATACATGTTCTTCCGAGACTACAAATCAAAGATTGTCAAAGGCATAGATGAAGATGATCTTCTTGAAGGTAAGCAAAAGAAAACACTAAATTAAAAGTGATAACTTATGTCATACATGTGCAGGATAAAATGTTTATACAGCACATTTAATGTATTTCCCACAGAAAAAAGTATGTGTTCTTCTCCTAGATAATGCAGTCTTAAATTATTCATATATTTTCGTGAACAGTTGAATCTTGTGATTTTCTATTTATATGACTTCATAGCAACTTGTCATTTCCTTTTATAAAGTAATATCTCATTCTTCTGTGTTAATTATGTGCTGTTTAAACTAGAATGAAAAACATGATGTGCCAGGACATTTTTCTTATCAGTATATCTGATAAGTTCTCTATTAAAGTAAATTAAAAAAAAATATTAGTAATGTATCCTAAAACAACAGTTACACCAAAATAAGGAGCCCTGGTGATATCGTGTTTAATGTTCAGGCTTCCAACCAAAAGGTTGGTGATTTGAATCTGCCAGCTCGTCTGTGGGAGAAAGATGAGACCATCTATTCCCATTAAGGTCTACAGCCCTGGAAACTCCATGAAGGGTCTCCATGAGTCAGAATCAACTCAGTGGCTGTGGGTTTGGCTTTTGGTTTTCAAAATAAAAAGTATGTAAGTACTCAGCAACACTTATTGACTCAAAACGAATATGTCGTTTTTAGAAAATACTGATGTTTTATATGTAAACTACAGTTTATGTAATGATTTTCTTTTACAGTATTATATGGTGATATTCATTACTAATAAATTGCATAGTAATATTCCTTCCTAATAGATGCACTGATAAATAAAGTACCACTCTGTTGTGTTAAGGATGCTTGCAGAAAACTATTCAGAATGAATTGAAATATTAACAATTTTTTTTCTCTCTGAGCAAATCCTCAAGTGCAATAGTCTTATCAAACAAACACATTTATGATCAAATAGTTCTTATCAAATAGCTTACATTATGTCATTTATTTAATATTGCTGCAACTATCAGAGAATTGAATTCCTGAGAAATAGTTCTCCATATTAGTTGAGAGCTCTCTTAACATGATGGGCACAAAAGATGCAGAAATGGAGAAAAACAGACCTGGTTTCCAGTCAATCCCTATTCTTTTTTCTTCACTGTGTAGTGTTAAGAGTCAATTTCCTTATTTATAGGTGAAACACTGTGCTACCTACAATGTATAATTCTTATGAAGGTTCAAAAGAATATGTCAGAAGTACAGGATATATTCTAGTCAATAATGCGTTTTAATACCATCCTCTGTGTATCAAAAAGCTCAGAGTGGTGAAATTTAGAACTAACTGTACTAGTTTGATTCTCTCTCCTCCTTACTGATTTCAGTTCTGTCCTCTGTCTTGTATTTCTTATATAAAATACTCTAGTGTTGAGGTGCAAAGACTGTGTTGGGAGGGCAGTCATAAGAACCGAGAATTCTATGTAACTAGAACAGAAAATATGGACGTTCATGCCTAAGGATTTTATAAAAAACAATAGTCCTGGTGGTGAACAATTAAGAGTATGTTGGTAGCTCCATGATGCTAATGACAAGTGAAATATGTCCGCTAAGGAAAGAAAAAAGTAGTAATGTCTTGAGATAAGGACAAAACTCTTAACTTGACTACCATACTGACCTTGGAAAAGAATGAAGTATTAAGCAGATACCACTATGCAGACATTTATGCCCCAGCACATATAGAACAGTCGCTAGTAATCAATAGATGCTAGCAGTTAAGTGTAATATCCATAAAGTATGACTAGCTAGGAGCTTAAAGGGTAAATTAGAAAAGGAAGAAGTCCAGCTAACGTTGTAGTCATCACTAAGCAGCTCTGATGGCATAGTCCATGGGAGTTGTGCTGCTAAACCAGTGGCAGAGCCTCTCTGGTGGTTCAAATCTACTAGAGTCTCCACTGGAGAAAAGTAGGCAACCTCCTCCCATGGTATAATTTATTTATAGCCTCTGAGGTCCTGCTGGAGGGTCAACTATGAGTCACCTCCTACTCAAGAACAATAAGGTTGAGTTTTTGACTATTGGGTTACTAGTCAATATAAATACAGTATCTTTATTTTCCCTAAAGATTAACATCAGAGACTGTACGTAACTGAAATAGATATCACTGAACTAATCCACTTGAGTCACTAGCCACAAAAACAACTAAACAGAGGAACAACAACAAGAAACCCCAGCAAGGGGAAGGAATAAATATCTGTAACTGCTACAAAATATTATGTGAAATGTATTTTTTTCCAGTGACAATAAATTGCATGACATGCACAGAAACAAGAAAGTGACCCATATGCAGGAAAGGAAAACAAAGCTGACAATAAAGACTGCCATTGAGGGACACACATGTTATACTAAAACAAAAATTCTTTCAATGTAGATGTTATAAATATGTTGAAAGCACAAAAGAAAACTATATGTAAAGAATAAAAACAAAGTATGATGACAGCATCTCATAGTGGTGTACTTG